AAAAATGTATGGAAACATGTTAGTATGAGCAAAATTTCTACCCAAACATTAAGTTCTGCATGGATAGAGAGCCTCGTTTTGAGAAACATTAATGGAAAAGTGGTGCCGGTCCATCTATCAAACCGAGGAAGCCATAAATTACTCATAGCCCATCTATCCATCTTTAAATCACATACAGCATCCCTTCAATTATTCCAGTTTAAAATCATAGGGCCGTTTTCATGTTGCCACAAGAGCTCCGACCAGTCAGGAAACAGGCCGAGAAGCACTGAATGTGTCCAGAAGACATCGGCAATAAACTCTGAATTACGGGGGGAGGTTTTAACAACTTGGGCTGACTTCCAACAGATGGCATTGGATCAAAACTGGATGGTGTCTTGGGGGGAGAGCCTGTTTTCTGAATGGTGAGATCTCAGTTGAATCTCAAACAAATGAACTGCAACATTTGATGATTTAATATAAGAGGGATTTAGGCTCCCGACGCAGAGCTCCCGGCACCGAGCAGTCTGTCTTTGGAGAACAAATGTCACGAGCGTAGGGACCTCCATGCGGAGAGAGGCTCTATTTCTGGACCGCCGGATTCGGAGCATAACGCCGCTCTGAACTCAAAACACGCAAATAGTGAAGAACTGACACACTCAGCAGAGCTGAGAGCAGTAAAACGCTGGCCCCGGCGTGAGCCAGAGCTGTGGCGATAGTAGCTTTGCATGCGGTTGTGTGATAACTCATTCAGACTGCGTGGGTAGGTCTCAAGCTCCCCCCGGAGTTGCATAACTGTGAATAGCAGGTGTGCGGAGCAGGAATTTTTCAATAAGAACGCACGGAAATATCTTTTTTGATTTTTAACTAAAAATACTGATTCAAAAGCAAGAATTCCGGTTTAAATAATAATCAAATTACAATCGTAAAAAGGCAGTCCGATAACATACTGCAATCCAAAATGCGGTAATGGAAAATTTTACCTCCATTTGTGACCATTTCGGCTGACAGGAATGACAGTGAATGGCAATCACTCCACCACAAAAACTAATGTGAACATTTAAAAGCCTTTTTTGCCGAACTGTTGGAATCCAGGGTATGGTTGGATCATATGTTAACATGGACCAGGATAAAGCTTTTTTTTCCTATGTGATCAATACATGGTGTAACCTCGGGCAATGGGATGATGCTTAAAGGGGCAGGTCTAATTTCCTCATCATCTCAGATACAGAATCACGGTAATCCAACCACAACAAGAACAAAATTCGAAAAAACAATCTATCTAAAATGATATAAGCGCAAAGCAGGAAGTAATGGATCAGCGAATGAGCCCTTGTGTGTGCGCGTGTGTTTGTGTGTGTGTGTGTGTTTTCTGACTGAGCAGTCCTTACAGCGGGCTGCAGTGATAAAGCAGGAAGCGTGCTGTTGATTTTGTGCAACTGCCGGACACAGTGGACCACATCCAGGCAGCCGGCTTGATGCATGTGCCCACGTTAGTGTAGAAGCTGGCAGTGAATCAGCAGTATATCGGATGACTAAGGGCTAGAAGAGCTGGCCATGTTCGTGGACCAGACCAGCGCTGGATGCCTTCACGGGGACGGCATTTGTGTGTCGGCTAATCCGCACCGCGTTACTCACACACACTTGGTGTGAGCCAATTCACTGTCAGCTTAGCCCACTCAATCTGTAATCCAAAAGCACCGGGAGAAAGATGAACCGGGAAAAGGAGGCGGGGGGGGGAACCCTGCCGGTCTACACGTGAATGGTCTCTATAATCGACATTTTGCTTCCGTTTTTTTTTTTTTCTTTGGTTGGTCTTGTTGCACTCCTTCAGATTTACAACTTTCCGCTTCATTGATTACAGGCCTTCAGAGAGGAACAGGAAACGCAGTCAATCGGTTGCCCTGACAACAGATGCGGCCGAGTTGAGCTGGCCCCTGGCACCTCCGCGTAATCGGCGACGAAGGGAGTGGAAGGCGAGCAGTCAGCTCCCCGTTCAACAGCGGTCCCCCCTCCCGCTTTCTTTCTTCTGACTGGCCGAACAATGGCCGGGGGCTGTGTCCCCCCCCCCTCCCCGTGGACCGTGCTGCTGCAGGGCCTGCGGTCCTGCATTAAAACCCAACCGGCACAAGCGCAGAGCTCTGCTCTAACCTGTTGCCTTGAACTAACTGTTGGCTTGTCTGCTCGAAGCCACTTGTTCCTGAGAGGAACAAAACGAGTGAAATGTTTCAATAGTGCAAAAGGAAGTGAGCACTTACCTGATTTTTTTTTTTTTTAAATAGCCCCCTTACAGTTTTCAAAGGCTGTTAATGTCCCTTTGGCCCAAGGAAGGTTTTCAGTTAGCCTTTCTTATTTAAAAGAGGGGTTAGAAAACAAGAGAAAATGCTCGCTAAATGACTAAAATTAATTGCTGGTTAACGGACAGATGATGATCAGTCATTAGTCCTATTTTTCATCAGTTTGTGCCTTTTCAGCCCGACGTTTCCTGCTTTTCTTTAGACGTCAGACAGAAGGTTTCAGCATGAACCATCAAAATCTAAGAAAAGGATTCATCTCTTACAGGTGTCGTCATTGGTTGTCTACCATTTGTCCATTTCCAGCTCAAACAGCAGGAGATCCACCGTGCAGAGAGCTCAAAATTGCTCTGAGAGACTTATGAATACATATTCCTTTTATTCCATTATTTGATGCAATGCATTGTAATCCACAGCTCAGTGGCTTATTTGAAAAAAAAAAAAAAATCCGTGCACAATGCATTACTTGAGCCAAACAAACTCAATTCAGGAGAAAAAACCGGATGTGACTCGGGCGCGGGCTATTTTGGGTCACGGTAAACAAATTGCCGCTGCGATTGTGCTGGGAAGGTGGAATTTAAGCTCGAGAAAGACAGTCGCTTCTTTCTTGGCACAAGACATCCAACAAACACACTGCTGCCCGAGGGGAGTCTAGTCAAGAGCTGTTAGAGGGGAACACACAACAGCCCCCCCGCCATTCTTTTCCTCTGTTCAAAAACAAACAGACCTTCTCACAGTGAAGGAAACTTCCCTCTTTGAAAGGGATCTCGAAATAACGAGAAAAAAGGTCACTCGTTGCATGCATTACACACCCATGCTCATATGAACACCAATGTGATCGAACTGACCTTTAAGAGCCTTACCTTTAGGCATCTCAATAAAGCAAGTCAGCTACAGTCCCTCACAAATCATTTTCTAACCCTAACCCTCTCTGGACTTTACATATCCTGCTGTAGTAAACTTCAAAAAGAATCAAAATATGAGATATCGGTGCAAATATCCTACAAGACGAGAGGTATTGAGGCTGAAAATGTTGGTTAAATGCATAACAAATATTGTAATAATTCAGTATTTTCCTTAAACTGGAGAACTCATCTCCCTACAGCAACCTCGTTGTACGAGACGTTTAAGGTGCCTCCTGGAAAATGTGTTTCGGGAACCCTGACCCTCTTCCGTCAAGGCTTCATCTCGCAAAGGCAACTCCAGCTCAGCGGCTCCCAGGGGTGGACGGGAAGAGCCGGTGAAAAGAAGCTCAATCGACCCAACGCATCCCCCGAGTGTTTTCAATTGCTGGTTGATGAGAGGGGTGGGATGGGGAGGGCGGAGGGGGGGGCTATTGTCTGCTGACAGTCCCCGAGCAGCCCGTAAAAGCTGTCATCAGGTGAAAAATGTCTTTGCCTGCTATCCTGTGCACCTGAGAGGGACCTGTGTTTGTGGGGGCGGCCGCTGGCAAAGATGTGGCTCCCATCTCTAAAAGCACCGCGGCCGGTTCTGTAATCATTTCAACACCGAGTCGGCTTCAAGGAGAAAATTGCCCGGGTCAAAGCCGTTATTTGGGCCCTCCAGATGACTGTACGCTCCACACTTGGCGGCACAGAAAGTCATCCCAACAACTCCTGTCGCACGCCTGGCAGCTTTAAAGGCAGCGTAATTTTGCAAACTCTGGGTTTTGCACAAACTGAGTTACAGAGGAACGTGTCTTGGTGTCATAACACCTCATTATTCGACCTGGAGAGGCAACAACGCAGTGGCACAAGCGGGGCATGCATGACATTTGAGCACCACAACAGCAGGACGCTGGTTATATGGCCGTTGGCCGTCTTCCAACAAGGAGCTCTATCATAAAAGAACTAGAAAACAAAATCGTAAAAGATAGTAACCTCCAGAGCCATATCCTAATCGTCACATAAATATCACGAGATCCTCTACTTTGTGAGGGAAAGGGAGACGTAAATCTAAAACACATCCACACAGAAATGGCTGAGCATGTTCTGCCTCTGCCCTGGTCCTGTGGGTGGCAGCAATATATGCATACATAAAAGCAGACAAATTTGTGTCTGGATCATCATGTAAGAATGTGGCCTGACAATAAACATTATGACGGGTGAACTGTCTGGTCAGCAGTTGATAGCGATTGTGCCAGTTTAACTTTAGTTCAAAACATGACATCACATGTAAACAGTGATTCAGCCTATGTTTGCAGAAAGTGGACCCTCGGTAAAAATGAATAGCATAAGAAGCCTTTTTAGGAAAGCGTTTAGTTATTTGCCTATTGGATTTATGCCGAATTAAGGAAACGCTTCTACAGATCCCCGAGAAGATGTCAATTTTAGACCATTTATACATTTTTTTACAAGGGAAAGAAAAATTCGATATTTTTAAATGAAGTGTGGCGTGACCAGCTGGCATGGAGCAGTGTGCTTGCTGTGTGCAAAAACACAAAATGCGTGGAAAACAGAAGGACTGCGACTTGAAATCTAAAGACACAAACTCACCTGTAAAACCCCAGCTTTATTTACATCGTATCATTTCCTCTGTTTGGTCAGTTCAATTGAATTACTCCATTCACGATAACAAGTACCAGATGTAAACTGGAAGGGTAGAAAGAGTCCTTTGGACGACTCGCTAATTTTACGATAAACGTTAACGTAACAATGTTACAGAGGTTAACAGAGGTTAACGTTTACGTCGAGGCTTCAGTTTAAGTTGACAATAATGCATATTTACCATATCGCAGCCGTTGGTGTGAGTGTATTCCTACTTCTTGTGAACTTTTCAGCACAGAAGGATAACGAGCTCGGAACATAATCCGTGGTTTTAGACTGGACCTTTCCTGTCGTTGCTCCGAAAATGAAAAGTGACCGTTGACATCTTCGATGCAACAGATGCCATCACGGCTTCCACGTATTGTTGCTGCTGGAAACTGACCAACGGCGACTACGATGTGGTCCCTCTCCCGGTCAGCACAGCCGCGGTAATCCACGCTAACTCCAGCGAGTCAGCGAGGCACAAGTGTGCCAACGCCCCGCCCACCGCTGCAGACAGAAGGGAGGGGCTGCGGAGCACGTCGAACGCACCCATATCAATTATTCATAAACAATAAGAGGCGCTCCACGGGGCCAATCATTATGTCATTCACGGTTTGTTTTAGTCCAGTGTGGACGTAAAAACAAACATGGACACACGGAGGCAGAAAATCGTTTGAAAATGTCTTACTTTCGTGACATAAAATGCCAGAGAAATTCGAGTTCGGGGATCCGAGAAATTTGGGACCCCAGATTTTACCCCAGATATGTCACTATTACATTATTATTATAATTATTACAGAATCACCTAATTAAAGATAAAATAGAATATCATTTTTTTAACATGACTTTTATAAACATTCTAAAGATGAATAAATACTAAATGATTTAGATAAAAAACTATTAGATGCTAAGTGAACAAACTGTAAGCACAGCAGACACACATTTACTAAAATGAAACATCAAACTACCTGAATTACATGCATAAACTACCAAAAAGGGACTAAATAATCTAATAGAGAAAAATAACTGAAAAAGATTGTTATAAATGCATTCAAGTTTAAACAAAATGCACAGAACGATGCAAAAACAGTCAAATGTTGTCATGAGGGATGTCTTTGCAGAAGAGATAGGGGTATAATGAAAAAAAAAAGACCAAACAAGAAGAAAACTGGCCACAAACAGAAAATTTTGATCCGTGCTTGACCGTAACGTGAGCATGTATGATGGTTTGTCTTTCTTTGGCACTGTGTACATCTATGTACCCCTCTCACCCAATAGCAGCTGGTTTATGGTCCAGGGCCCGCATGCTCCTGAATTGGATTAAGTTGGTATGGGCCACTTGAGAAGCCTTAGATGGATTAACAATGCCCCTCTCTGTCCTCAGCAAGGCATTTAAAATGACCAAATTTTGCATCACAAAGACAGCCTTACATTCCCCCTCCAAAGAAAGACTCACAGACTAAACAAACTTTTTCTGCAGTAATATCAAGTAAAGTAAAGCTGTGAAAAACCCACTGACACATTCTTTCACTTTTCTTGAGGTAATATCCCCTTTTCTCAAATTTGAAATTAAAAAATAGATGTTTCTGGTTGTTTATTTGCACGTCATAAAAAGATACTATGAAACTTCTGTGTGTGGAAAGAACACAGCAATGAATGGTATTCATTTCAACCTAGAAAAATGGAGAACTACACCTGCCTGATGGCTTTAGGACAAAAACCCATTTCAAACAAGCAGCATGTTTCAAAGCAGAGACTGGAACGTCTACATTCTGTCATGAACCGCTCAGATTTCAACCCCTGAATTTGAATTTTATATAATAATGGTGATTTTACACAAATATATGTAATTTGAACGTTTATAGGGATCCCACAGAGGCTGAGATAATTACTAGTATAGCTGTCCCCTGGATCAAACTGCTGTATGGACTACGTTAAATTATACGCTGATGAAAGTTAGACTGTGTAGCTTTTGTTTATGCAATCTGATCTGTGCAAACTTGTAAGAGTTGTAATTCCCTCCCTCTACAGGGAGCACTTTACAGCATTCCGTTAAGGGTTGTATTTAAGAATATAAAGACTGACTTAATAGGGTGCAGTGTTTGCATTTATTGATCAAGAATGTATGCCTTGAACTTCTCTTTACATGCAATATTACAATCATTTGTCCTTGAGTAGCAAAAAGTTCCCTCCTTAAAGTAAAGTTCAGCTCGCTGGGAAACGATTATATCAGTCATTAGCTGATGTGGGGAAACATGACACGAGCTTTTATCTTACTGAATAGATTTGAATTAATAACTCTCCAAAGCTCCGGGGTTAGACCGGTGAATTATTCAAAGGCACACGGGCTATCCTATGGCCCTGCTGATAAAGACACCAATTAGCATGGTTAGTGGCCCTGTCATATGATCTGGGCTCGCTGATAGTTTTCTGTCCAAACACACATTAGGGCCTCATCCTCCTAATGCAAAACCTGTTGGGGTGGTGAGCCCCCTTCTTATTAAACGCCTGTATTTTTTTTTTCCCCATGGATCCCATCAGTCCTTATCAGTTCCTTGCCTTTCAGGCACACATGGTCCTGAAGCCCACTTTACGAGTCCAGTGTGAGTCAGCCGGCTTTTAATCATCGCGGTGAATGTGTTGACAGGTTACGTGCTCCGAGGTCTGGTGATTCAGCCTGCAGGGCAGAGTACAGCACCTGGCACTGAGGGCAGGATCCAAGCTGAGTCAGTGCCGCGTTATTTCTATGAGAGCTTGTGTGTATGTCCGCCGAAAGCTCTCTCTGTGGCCGCGGGGCTGTTTCTCTGTGGTGAAATCAATCCTCATAACCTTTAACACTTTCGGCTCAGTTCTCCTGGGCATTGATGTTTAAAATCAATGCGGGATCCATGTTAAAGAGAGACAGCAGAAACCCAGTTAAGTGTGGCTTTTAATCATGTAGGGGATTGGTGCTCTTGTTGTGCTTCCAAATTGATTCGGCGTTAGAGGAATCAGCCGATGCGCGCTCCCCGGAAACAACTTCCCTCGGTAAGTACCATTAAAAGCAGATCTCTAATGGATGCTGCGGCACTGCTGAACGCTCATGAGGCTGTAAGAGCAAAAAAGACCAAGCAAGGAGCATTAAAAAAAAAACTCAATTATCAGCCTCTTTTAATTCCCTAGATTTAAATGAAACATAAAGTCGAAACACAGCGTCCCTAACAATAAATGTAACATTGAGTCCATTTTAGGTTAAAAAAAAAAAAAAGAGCAGTCATAAGATGATGTAAAATTCACATGTGCGTCAAGGAATGTAACATTTGCGTCGATGCTTAAAAATTCTCTCCGTATTTCTCAAGATGCCATTGTTCTCTTTCCCAATCAACAATGTTTGTGTTCTTTATGGACTTCCCTACCCACTTCCTGTCTCCATCTCAGCCACCACATCCAGTTTGACCTCTGCACCCCCACAGACGTCCGGAACACAGATAGTGCCCGAATTCATACTGCAGGCATCGGCTCTTTCTGGAGCATATGAGAACAGCTCCGAGTTTCGTTTACTGTTGCTAATGACGAAAACCGAAAGGTACAAAAAGACTATTAGCTTGTTTTTTCTTGCGTGAAAATCCGGATAGATGTTCCATATAATGAGCCGACCCGTCAGACTGATGGTGGTTTAATGTGGTGACTTGATGATCCCACATTAGAGTAAGCTATTAGGATGCAAAAGAAGACAACAACAACAAAAAAAATTAATCATGTTTTATGAAACAAAACATTTCAGTTTTTTATCAGAAAAGTTATGCATCATCATCCTTGCTTAAGGTCAAAAGAACCCACGCTTGCTGTAAAAGGCTAAACTAATTTCCTCTTTATGGTATCAAACTCATTAGAAACCTTCCTTGAGTTCTTGTCAACACAGACATGTTAAGACGCTGCTCTAAAGTTGGTATTCGAGGGAACAGACCGAAATCCCGATCAATAGATCAGGTGCAGATCGAAACTCCGCACAACTCAAGCCAAAACCAGATTATCCGACAGGCAGTGAAGAATGCTTAAAACACAGTTTGTAGTTTTCACAATGACCGTCTTTGCCTGTGAAGTCGGCCTCAAACCTCAGGCCTCCGAGTTCTATCTGATTTTGTCGCACGGGTGTGGGGAAAAAATAAGCAATAGGCCAACGCACAAAAAGTGACACTCCAAACTGAGAACTCAGTGACAGACAGAGGTCTTTCTCCCACACCCTTTGCTGCTTCGTCTCCGAGTCAGACAGGAAGGGAAACTTTCGAGGCCAGAGTACTTGTGTAGACACGTCTCTGTGCTTTGTTTCACACGAGCCAAAACTGAGGCAAGTGCTTTAACTGGCTAACAAATCAGAAGGGACAACTTTATAGAGAGACTCGTGTCTCTCGTCTTCTCATTTTCACACTGGTATTTAATTGAACTTGAGCTTGTTTTTCTTCATTTCAAGGACGAGTCGTGTGTGTGTAAATGTTGAGGCGCGTTCTTTAAAGCTGCATCAAAATGATGTACAGAACCTAATTATGAGATGGAATACATTATAGAGATGACTGATGTCTGACTGTCACACAAAATGCTCTAATGGATTCAGAGATTGCTGTCGCTCGCAGGGAATGTGGCAGCCCACCGCTCTGGGGAAGTCTTAGCATAATTCCCCTTTCATCTCTGCTGTCACACAGCAAAGCAAAGACAGAACCATCTGCATTCCAGTGGCGGAGAGAAGAGTGCAGATTCACCGGGCTAAGTAATTGGAGCCGTGGAGTTATGGTGTATTTTAGGATTACAAAAAGCCCAGGGATGCCCGATCCAAAGAGCATCCCTTTTACTAGCCTGTGTGTGTGTGTCCTGTCCTCAAATCACATGCTTTTTTAATATATATATATATATGTATCAAAGCTGCCAACCTCCTGCTCACCAATTCAGTCCCAGTCATTTTGTTCTCTCTCATATATGAATCATCCCAGATTTCCATTATCTTATAACTTTGAATTTCACATCCGTCTGATTCTTTTCCATCTAATATAGTCTGTCAGTCCGCTGCATTACAAAAAAAAAGAACTCTTCTGCCAGAGAAGACAGAGTTATCAACAAGGGCTGGCCTCGATTTTCACCTTTGCCCCCCCCTCACACTGATAAGCCCCCTTCGGGCTCAAAGGGAAAGTCATGATTCTTGCATTACAAAAACATCCTGAACCAGAGAGC